GTTGTTGTTCCCTGGTTCTGACATTAATCTTATGTTGACCTTCTGTCAGATCACCAATTACTTTGAAGAGCACAGAAAACAGATACAGCACAGTCAGTTTCTGAAGCATGCAGTTAAGGGCAGATAAAGTGCAAATATGAGCACAGACATAATATGAAGAACATTCAAAGATAATGATGAGTAGGGATGGGGGATTTTAGGAAATACTGTGGCATGATATACCTTTGTAAACCATCCGAAATTCAGCTATATCATTCACACTATGGCAACCAATGTTGGGCTATCAGTGTTTGAATTGTTTTTAAATTAAATATTGTTTTACTGATACTGCCTGCACTATACTAAAACATATGCAACAATCAAAATGTGTTTAGGTATTATTCACAGGAGTTTACCATTCAAAAAGTCAGTTAATCTGCTTCACCAGGACGGTATGGTTGTGGTTTGATCAGATTTGATTGGTTGTGAATGTGATTCAAGTTTCTAGCTGGGGTTTTCCTGTTTGTTGTTCACAGTCAAAGGTGGGGGTGTCATGTGACAATACATGACAAACTGACACAACAGACTATGTTATATTGAAGAACAGGACAACATTGATAAATGACGTGAAGCCTGCAAGATAGTTCAGGTAGCAAACTCAAGTCTGCCATTCCAAACACATGGCCAACTCTTTTCAGACAGATACTTTTAATCCTTTTAATGTAAATTGTCAGTGCTCTGCTTGCTCTTTTGCACCTCACTCTAAAGCAATGTACTCCTCCTGCTGCCACCACTACATAGCATTTCATAAACCCCAGCTCCACCTGTAGGCTCTGAGTCTACCTTCCCGTTGTGGGGGGTTAGTATTATTACTATCCCACTCCCTGCTGGGTACTTCCTCGAGTGGAGTTCAGAACCAAGATGCCAAACACTGTACATATTCTACATTCACAAAATAATCCATTCCATGTGAGATGGTTGAACAATAGTGATTGTTATTTTGACGGTGAGGTAATAACGATCTGGTTGAACTGCAGGAGCCCCAGATTCATCATTAACAACTTTCAAACACCAGCACGATGCACACGGACAGAATGAACAAAGAGAGCAAGGCAGCCAACTAAGAAAACTGAAGTTCACAAGCTCACATATGAGCAGAGGAAAGAGTGAGCGAGGGCGAAGGGGAGTGTGCTTTTATGGGAATCGACCAGGGTGGTCCTTGGCTGCATGCTCAGATGGGGGCTTGTCAACACAACACCAGAAAACATCCAAGTCATCCCACCCATCCTAACTTCTCCCAGCTATAGCAGACACATCCACAGCTGGCTAATTCAGCGGTGGGTGGAGGAGGATATTTGAGTTTTCTACTAAAATAACAAAGCTGCTATTGACTCTGACCTTGCCTCTGTCTTACTTCTCCTTCCCCTGTTACTTCCCCTTCCAGCTAACCAGACCCCAAGTTAGGTCTGGCTAGCGGGTGTCTTCAAAACACTTCGCAGCTGTTTGTATTTGCTGATTCAGGTCTCATACTAAAACAAGTTCAATCCAGTCAGAGAGAATTTAATGGTAGTTGTTGATGTGTATATATTTGGAAAGAATCTAAAGTACAGATTTATTTGATCCAAAAATATTCAAGAGTTATCAAGCCAGAGCTCATTAATGATCCCTCCAACTCTTATATTCTGGCTTGGGTCTCCAGCACCTGTCAGCTCCACTTTTTTATGAGCACTGGAGGCAGGAGTGGATATAGAGCAGCAGAGTAGAGCAGTTTGGAGGGAGGAGAAGCAGGGAAATGGGAGGAGGACAGGAAAGGGGATATTTGTGATATTTATGGGCCGCAGGGGGGCACACAGTGCAGCATACAGCACAGCGTTAAAGGGATAAGCTCTTACAAGAGATCTCAACTTCTCTCCCATCCAGTAGGGGCCTGACACAACTGCCTGCAAGGCTGTTTTGCCCAAGTTAATATACGTCTAAGATGAGAACAATTATTATTCATAAAGACTTCAAAACCCTTGAACTCAATTCAACATTTTCCTTTACATCAGTATATAACAAATAACATGTGCATGTGCTATTGCCATTTTCTATACAGTAGTCTTACACTTACACTAAATCTACAGATCACAACAACAATCAACAATCACATGCATGTAGAAGAGGAACAATTCAGGAACTGGGCTGCCCCCTAATAGTCGACTTAAGAGTCGATGTAAAGAGTTTTCACTCATTTGAACAACGAGACTCATGTGATGTAGATTGCACCTCAAAAATACTTTATCAATCAAACTATCATTACCAAGCACTATTATAAATGTGGCTGCTGAGGCTTTTGAAACATTGCCATTGTTGGACATTGAAATGGAGGATGGACAATGTTCATGCCAACATTGTACCATTACAACTAAGTGAGTGCAGAAAGTTGGCTAATGGAATATAACTAAAAATGTATTGTAGCTGAGTATTGAATGTTAATAGTTGTAATTTCTGAACAAAGTTGAATTGCTAAGGAAGGATTTAAATTCTGAGTAGAGATGGGATTTATGGCTCTTTGAAAGGAGCCGGATCTTGAGGAGCTGTTCCTTTCAAAGAGCCGTTCAAAAGACTGACTCATTTTTAGATTTATTTATTTTTAAGAAGCTAGCCTGGGGGTAACCCATTTTATCTGGGAAATAATCACTGGGAGGAATGATAGGGTAAGATTTGGATCAGAATCATTCAAACTTAGACATCCCATGGATATGTAATAGATATATTAGATATCTGAGTTAGAATTATTTTGAAATATTGATTATAATTTCATTTGACATGTGTGGACTAGATTTTAGTGTCTGATCTGCACTCATTGTAAACATTCCACTAGGTGGTGCCATATCCCTCTGCTTTGACAGTGAGATCACTATTTTGGATCTTTGTAGAAAATATGTGTTAGTGTAAATAAAGCTCTTTTGACTTGTTAATCATGCAACACCTTTTTATTTGTGGCACAATAAAAAACTAAGCAGGCTACAATGAACTTCCATGCGAAACAGCTTTTAGTGTAACATTTTCCACACAAGAATATTTTCTATAGAAATATAGAAAAACTTTTACAAAACAAGTTCCAAGTTTCATGTATAAAAAATCCCACTAGTACTACTAGTATAAACCCTGCAGAGGACTCATGAACTGTCCTTAGTAACATCAGTGCAAATTTAAGCAAAGGAGGAGCTTGTGTGCGCATGATGTGTGTGTGACAAAAAAAGAAAAAGAAAAAGAAAAAGAACGGCTCTCAACTGCAACTCGGTTCCCATCATTCATTTTAAAGAGCCGTTCAATAGATTCGGTTCTTTCGTGAACGCCACAACTCTAATTTTGAGAAAACAAAGTTCATTCTTATGCAACAGGAACGAGCTATTGCATAAAAGGCAGACTGTAACATCTCAAACTGAATCAGCTTATCTCCTCTTGTTATTATTATTATTATTATTATTATTATTATTATTATTATTATTATTGATTACTGTCCTTGATTCAGTGAGGAAAACCCTGAACAGTCACCTATAAACGGTAACAGATTTTGTTCACTGTTTGTTTAATGGTTCAGTGTAACATTTTGGTTTAAATGTGTTCTTGCAGACTAGTAAATGTGTTGATGGGGGTGGACATGAAGTAGAAATAAAGAAAAAGCCTTTCCATGAATTGAATCCGACCTTAAAAATAAAGCTGTTATTATGAAATGGGAAGTTCTTGTAAAACAGGCACAACTGTTCATGGAAAATTAAAAATACTTATGCTGACAGTCTTAAAAAAAAAGCTGTCACTTTCAGCCTCTCTGTCCCTCCCTGCAGCCACATTCCCACTTCCCCAAACCCAGTCATTGCCTTTACCAGTACACCAAATGACCTTTTACTTTTTCTCTTGCCCTACTACTACTACTTCTATCAGCCTCTTTCCTCAGTCAGTGACGGATTGTTGTTATCGCTTGTTATCTGAAACCTGGAATTTAAGATTTGTTACCTGCCTGTTTTAAACACCTACCTAATCTTTTTGACATTGAATTTTGACTGCGTACCCAGCTTTGACCCTTTCCTGACTGATTTTGTACCTTTATCTGGTCAATACATAAATCAGTCTGCCTGCTTTGTCTGCATTTGGGTCCTATCCCTGTTGCCCCGCTCGCACAAAGCTGTGACAAACATGTTTGCAGTCTAAGATCTTGAATCCCTGATTCTTACCTGATTAAATAAAGGTTATAACAAGTGGCGTAATAAGTCGCTCATTTGTTAGAATCCAGTCCTTGGTCTAGACCCTACTTACTGTTGGGCCAGCACAAATGTCAAGTGGTACACAGAAATGTGTTTCCTCTGTTATAGGACTGTTACATTCCTCGAACATGCAGTGCACGTGTCACATTGATCATTTGTAATTGTGAGTTTGTGTTATGATTTGTGTCTTGAAATCCTGCCTCTGTTTTGCTGTAGTCCTACATGTATTGATGCATATGATGATGCAATTTGTTGCTCAGATATAATGAAAAGTAAAATACAATCAAATGGTACTAGACCTTGTATTAAAGAGAAACTGTTGATTTTTAACATGGCAACATTAGATTGTGGAATAATACACAATTTATGAGCAGTTTCAGACTAGCTTAGAACATACTGTTCCAGTTTTTTATCAGGTGGTACTATCAGAGTTGCAGGAGCTCTGTTTGTTGGAGCGCACTTTGGCACAGTGGCAACAGGAGGACAACAGGTCTACTTTTTGAGCAAAAAGGAATACCCCAGCCATATTTGGTCATGTTTTAATCTTGTTTTTTCCTTTCTTTGTCCTTTTTTTGTTTTATCATCACTAAGAGATAGAGAGAATAAAGGGCTACACCCCACCAGAATGTAGATTAACATTATTTTTACAAGGTTACTTTATCACTGTTTAGTTAATCATTTTCAATTTGCGTAATAAAGAGTCCATCCTAATTCACACAGCGCACAACACAACCTGATAAAAAAAACCTGCAGGAAAGGTTTCCCAGAGGACGATATAATCAGTATACGCAGAGACCACAGACAACCATGGGGAACAAGCCCTCAAGTCATCAACAACAGGAAAGGAAGAGAACTGTCTTTTATTCAAAAGAGAAAGAAGTTTACAGGATTCCTGCTCTTTTCTATGACAATGACAAACAAATCTTTATGGCCTTTGCAGAGCAGAGGAGGACTGAAGACGATAGCAATGCAAAAAACCTGGTTATGAAAACAGGAACGTTGAAGATAGAGGAATCCTCCGGTGTGAGGACAATTGAGGTAATCATTTCAAGCAATTTTTTAATTGTTAATTACTTGTGCATATACAGTTCAGCTTTCAACTGCATCAAAACTGCTTTTGTAAATTTTCACATCTCTGAACAATATTCTTTCTAGTGGTCTGAACTCAAACTGGTGAAGGAGGCACATCTTCATGGCTACCGTCCAATGAACCCCTGCCCAGTGTATGAGAAAAGAAGCAAAAAACTGTTCCTTTTTTTCATCAGTGTTGAGGGCACTGTCTCAGAGTGCTGTCAGAGATTCTGGGGCTGCAATAAGGCCCGTCTCTGCTATGTTACAACTACAGATGCTGGCCAAAGTTGGAGCAGTGTGACTGATTTGACAAACAAACTGGGTGAAATTAAAAACTGGTCCACATTTGCTGTTGGGCCAGGCCATGGTCTCCAAACAGAGAGTGGTAGATTGATTGTCCCACTTTATGCTTTTACTTCTCTCTTCCGCTCATATGCACTCTATCTGTATAGCGATGATATGGGCAATAATTGGCAGTTTAGCAATATGCTTCAAACAAAATCAAATGAATGTCAAATGGCAGAGGTTTCTGATGGCATCTACTGCAATGCACGTAGTGATGGAGGCTATCGAGTGGAAGCTCTTGATATGAAGACTCTGTTTCCCAAAACCCTTGTGGAAACAGGTTCAGGCTGTCAGGGAAGTGTGGTCTCCTTTCCAGCTCAAGGTGAACATGCACCAAACAAGTGGCTGCTCTTCACCCACCCAAGTGATAAATCCAGTAGGATTAATTTAGGAGTGTATCTGAATAAATCGCCAAGTGATCCAAAAGCATGGAGCAAACCCTGGATCATCAACACAGGACCCAGTGGTTACTCAGACCTGGCTTACATTGGTGATGGTTGGTTTGCATGTCTAATGGAGCGTGGGAAGCAGAAAGAAACTGAGCAGATAGCCTCTGTAGTTTTTAGCTACAACGAAGTCAACCAGGGCATTGTAAAGAAAAACTAAATCATTGTATTTATCCGTGGTGAAGCCTTCTCTCTCTGGCTAACCCTTGTAAAATGATTGAAGACTCTACAAATACACCTGACTTTAAGATGCTGAGATTGTATAACCAACCTTGAAAATGTATGATAATATGCTAATGCTAATGGTGTGCTACTTAATATATTACATGTTGGATTGACATTGATACAATCAAAGTTATAATACACTATCCATTAATATTATTTATTCTGTTTTGATTTCAGCTGTAACAACCATATTGATTCTACATGAGTGTACATGATGTACTAACATTGTATACTTTGTTAATTTAAACAAAGCTCCTGACACAGTTTGTGTTTTTATTTGATACAATTCAAACGATAAAACAGGATCTTTTACAAATAAATGGGGTTATTAGAGCTTTTTCTTTATCAGTTTACTGAATAATTTATCGATTTTACACACTTTTATGAATGCACATGCCAAAAAGGTACTTGTGTTTGACATTGTTTTTGTGCCATTATATGTTTATTCATGTACTGCTGCTGTGACATTCACATTTACCCTTGGGTACAAATATCAATATCATAGCAGAACGGCAGTACTACTCCTGTTTTCCAAGGAAATACAACAGTGACTCCTTTTAGATTGGTATTGTGGCAGGTGAGATGTCAATCTTAAACGCCACATCACTAATTTATTAAACATAAAGTTTTTCTGTGAGTCTAAAGAATGTAATTGTACAAAATGGCTGTAATGACCTAAAATGAAGATATGTTCTCAACTAAATTTGGCCAGTGTCCAAACTGATTAATATAGTCAATGATTCATAATCAGTTATCGATTTATTAATAGGATAGCTAATAATGAACTAGAAAACGAATGTGATCAAAGTCTGACTAAACACCCTCCTGGTCAATTAATAACCAAACGTGTTATGGTTGTTTGTTTTGGTTCTGCTTCAGCAAGGAAGTGATAATCACTTATTATTATTTTGATCAATACTGAGATCGATTATTGATTACAGAGGTGCAAGGTGCAGTTCCCCGTTGCTGCTCCTTCTTGTCCCATCACTCCCCGACATATTTACAACTGATTCGACGTCCAAATGTTGTTTTGTAGACGCATTTTTGTTTAACGATGGCAAACAGTATCAAGATCTCTGACACATTGCACTTCCTGTGACTAGTTTACTTCACAATAAAATTCAACTCGTGTTTCGTCAGCCAAATGCTTTTAATGTGAAGTTGCAGCTGCAGGAAATGTTCGGTTTTCGTTAGCAGTAACTTAATACAGCATTTTATTTTCCCCGATAAGAAGTTTTCTGTAGCTGTAGGGTTTTTGTGTTGCAACATAACAGCTACACAAAAGTGAAACTAAAACATCTTGATCACTGGTGGTGGCTGGCTGTTGGTTTAGAAAACATTTTATTGCATATATGCATTAGTTTTTTTGAGCCGGTCATGTATTTTAAACGTCAATATCGTTGACGATCACGTTAATTTAAGCCAAAATTGTGATCAAGATTAATATTCGATCAATAGTACAGCCCTTCCATATACTATATATTATTTAATGAGTTACTTCTTTAGACATAAACGACGTGGTTTTGGCTGTAACGACAAATAAAGACTCCGCCCTCACTAAGAAACTGCACCACGCCATACTCTCAGCAGGCAATATTTGCAGATACAGCCTATAGCTAAGTCTTATTTTCACATCTGTTGTACGATCATTTTACACCAACCATGGAAAACACACTTTTAATGGATTCAAAACCACAGAAAGAAACTCTTTATGAATCTCGTGTCTACAGGATTCCTGCTCTTTTGTACGAGAGAGAAAATGAAACTCTTCTAGCCTTTGCAGAGCGCAGACGGAAGCGAAGACGATAAGCAATGCAAAACAACCTGGGTTATGTAACAGGAAGAGTGAAAGAAGGTAGAAAATCGTACTGATGTGAGACGATAGATGCGGTTAATTAGCCAAATATTTATTCATCTCTGAATTATTGATTAGTACAGTATTGCTTTGAAACCAATCAGTACTTCGTTGTTTTATTACACATCTCCTGAAATACATCCGTCTCTATGTGTCAGACTCAAAACGCGCACGCAGGGCAACGTCTTGATGTCATCCTTCTATGAACCCCTGCCATCCATGACATAAACCAAAAAAAACTTTCCTTTTTTCAGTCTGTGTTGAGGGTACTGTCTCTGAGGCTGCAAAAACATTACAGACAACAGAAGCCGTCCGTGGTGACATCACAAGTAAGGAGCTGAAAACGCGG